TTCCTTATTTTTTTTCTAATTCAGAAATCCTTCCTATAATTTTGTGGTAAATTTCAAGAACCTTTTTTTTTTCTAAGTTGAAAAATTTGCAAAATTTTTTATTTAGGTGGGAGAATATTTACCATCTTTTTAAAGATCTTATTAAATATAACAACTAAATAATTGACTAGCTGAGGTGTATATTTATAAAACTACATATACACCATAAGTACCTGGGATTGATCCATCCTGTATAGATGATGATGATGCCAATTTAACCTCAAATTTTGGATTTAGAAATAAATTCAAAATATTATAGTATCAGTTAACACAAGAATTATACACTTCTAAATGAGGAAAATATTGTAAGGGTTGGAAAAATTTTAGAAAAAGTCACCCAGTCTAGCTGAGGCATGGGACTATCTATTCCTTGATTTTGAAAAAGTAATCTTCCAAAATTGTCTATTTGCAATCGAATTTCAGAAGATTGTAGAACGTGCATTGTTGGAATTACCGTTGGGAAAGTTCAAATTTTTTACATCAATCCTGAAGAACATCTATGAATTAGACCGAAAGCGTTAGATAACTATCCAAAATTGTCTATTATTTCTAAAATTAAATTTTTTTGATAAATTTTGAATTTTTCAGAAATTTTCAATGACCATTCTATCATCAGATTTAGCATATCTTGGGGCATTTAAAGCTTTGTTCTTTAAAATGACTAAACTACATTGTAAATACATCAAACCAAGTAAAATTATTAATACAAAATTTAACTTTATTTAAAAAATATTCATCTAATACGTTTAGTATGTAAATCAGCCAATATATCACTAATTAGTGATCTGTTTGATATGCCATTCCACAATTTTATTTAAGAAGTTGTTGTTCTTTCTCCAAAACAATCTTCCATTTAACAATATTAAGATTATTATTTCCATATGAGTTGTCTTTCTTCAGATTTATATCCAATTCAACACAAATATGAAGGTGGTTGCTGTAATTCTTATCCAGTACTGATAAAGAATTGATCTGAGTTAAAACCAGTCTATAATAGAACCTCCTTCAGGTGTAACATCCTGTACCATTTAAAAATCTTAGCCAAAGTTTTCACAAAAGTTTTTAAAAATTACATCTTCTATTGGTTATTAACCACATTCCAAACACTTCCATTTGACTGATGCCATCACTATCTTGCCATGTAAAGTTTGCTTGAAATTGAAGGTTCTCTCTATTCTGAAATTAAAGTCATCAATTGGCATAACCACATTTAAATGTTTAACAGCAATTTCAATTTCTGATACCACTACATGAATCTTTTCTTAAATGTATAAAACAACTTAAAAATTTTTTTATTATTAAATGTCAACTCCAAGATCGCAAAAAACTAACCTCATTTTAACACAAGGGAAAAGTAGAATTATGAATCAAAAGCATCCCATATAATTTATCTTTATTTTTTCCACGAAATCCTGCTTCTTCAAAATTGTAAATTTCAAAGATTCTGAGGGTATATCATAGTATTTTTGTCTCACCAGGTCTTCAATAAGAATATAACTTGAAAAGTAAGCATACATTGCCAAAAAAGAAGTGAGTTCATTTCTTACACCCACACAATTCCAGGACACAATCTGATAGCTTAGATTTTTATGTCAATCTCGTGTTTTTTTTTTTTTTTTTTTTTTTTNTTCTTTTTTTTTTTTTTTTTTTTTTTTCTTTTCTATCATTATTTTATTTATAAAGTCATATGTAAAGATCTTAATTAGTAACATAATTGAATTACATAAAAATAAAACTTGTTCCTGTTGGGAAGTCCCAACTTGGCATAAACAATAAAATATAACATTTATTTATAACACTGACACCAATATAAATAATTTTTGTGATACAAGATAAAAAGTATGGAGTGTGGCTTCTTCCATATGGACACTGGGACATCTAGTCCGAAAGTGAATGTTTCTTCCTTTGTGTCTTCTTGTCCTTCTACATGCATGTTCCAGCTTCTTCACATCGTTTTGGGAAGTAGTTCATGACCGCAACATCTCTTTTTCTGCAATTTCTCACAAATTATCTAATGATTCTTTTGGATTTGCTCATTAAAGATGGTAAATCATCATTAATAAAAATACCAGTACATTTAAGTTTGTTAGCCACACACCAAAAATTATATTATCTTTGTTCTGAAAATTGTAACCAAGTCTGTAACATTTCTCTAGATCAACACTAGAAACATTTAACTTTTCAAAAATAAAGTTCAAAAACTGTAGGCCTCTTGAGTTTATCATCCTCCTCTTCCAATTCCAGTATACCAGAAATGATTAAATTGTTACAGGTGATAAAACATTCAAATTTCTCTTGACTCACATCAAAACCTATTAAATAATGTTGGACACTATCCCAGTTTGGGGAAGAAAAATCAGATATCTGTGTTGTAGAATGCACTTTTAAATAATTTATTTTAGATTCAATTTAACCAATGCCACCATTATATACCATGATTTCAATAGTAGATAGAATTTTTTCTTAGGTCTAAATTCTCAACCCCAAAAATAAAAAATAAAAAAATATATAAATGTTGCATTCTGTGGCTTGAAGTTTCTCCATTTCTTGAAAAACTTCAAAAGTGCAATATGACAGAAAATATAGATAGAGTTGACTCTTGAAATGCGAAGGTTGTACATATCCACAAAAAGGCTTCAGTGAAGTTTTTTTATTCTTAATCAGAGTAACATTGGATTCTTTGTGTATAGATGTGAATAGAATAAAATAAAATGACATTCAGATTTTGTTAAACAGTGCTTGCTTTTAATGGATATTTAGCCACTGAAAAAATACATTGGATGGCTATGAAGTTCAGATATCTTCAGTGTCTTTTTGAGTTTGTTACTCCAACTTACAACTATTAACTCAAATCTAGACTAATTAGTTCAAATCAGTATTTCCCAAGAAATGTAAGAATACTTATAAAGATTCAAAGTGTAATTTATAGAAAAGTGTAATTTATAGAATCACTACATTTTAGAAAAAAATACACTAATTATAATTTTAAAATAAAACAATTTTGAATGAATGTTAGAACATCAACAACACAATACTAAAAAGATAATGAAGCTACCACCGAAGTGGGATATCATCTATTTTTTGATGGTCAAATTTGTATTTTTGACGCTTTGCTGTACATGAATAATTATGTTAAAATTTATTGGATCATTTGATAATTTATGTTAATTTTAGACTAAAATATTTATCAAAGTTTATGTGAAATTGGCTCAATAAAATAGGAATGCTATTATCTATCAGTGACATTATAAATTTTGTTATATAACTGTTTAGCTAACTGTATTACTGAAAAAAGTTACTCTTAAACAGCCTTTAGCAAATAGTAAGAGTTCTGTTGTCATAACTCATTATGGTAATTCATTGGCAATCATGACTACAATATTTTTTTATATAAGATTTATTTTAAGTTTTTAATTTACTATTATTTTATTTATAAAAATTTTATAAACTTTGTTTTAATTTATTGATATTTTACACACTTTACGTATTTGGTGTGTATTACTTAAATATCACACAAAAAACTGGATGCATTTTACTGTTATTTTCAATGAAAAAACTCCGTAAATTTCAAGGAATGCTTATTTGATGAAGAAATGAACATTTTTGGCCATTTTTAACAGTCATCAGGTTGATACATTCTAAAAACAGAACAAGAAATGGAACATATATTTTGAAAATGAAGAACCATATGTGCATTTGGATAATTACTGTGCGTTCAGAGATGGTTGCTTATGCAGTTAGTGTAAATTAAATAAACTCCATGGAAATAAAAAATTAATAAAATATACATTAAGTATTAAACTTTCTTGAGAGGACTTCAGATAGTGATTTCCAAGGAGATATCTATGTTACTTAAGAATGCCAAGAACCTTCCTTATAGGCAGGTTCTTGGATTTTCACTGTAATTTCCATTCTTGGTATATTGGGGATGAAGTATACTCCTGGTATACTTCATCCCCAGTGTTGATAACAGTATATACCAAGAATGGGAATTACAGTGACAATCTGATCATTAAACATTAGAGCAACAATCCAATCATTAAACAAGTCTTGAAGGAGCATGAAAAGTGACATTAAGAAGGGAATGTGTAATACACAACCTTTACATCTGACAATGAGCTCTTAGTATCTTTCAACTAGGCTCGACTTCTATGTCATACTGCCAATAGAGCCCACCTCAGACATTTTTGAGAGATTGGATATATAAATTGGCTAGATTCGCCACCGCCATAAATTGTAAGGACTCGGATGTCATCTCCTTGGCATGGAAATCCTTATTTGAAGTCTCCTTAAGAAAGTTTAAAGCTTAATGTGTATTTTCTTAATGTTTTTTTATTTCTGTGGAGTTTATTTAATTTGTTATAACTGTGTAAGTAGCTGCCTTCACATGCATGGCACTTATCCAATTGCATGTATGGTTCTTCATTTTCAAAATATATGTTTTGTTTCATGTTTTTTTTTTTTTTTTAGAATGTGTCAATTTGATGGTGACCATTAAAAATGGCCAAAAACATTCATATATTTATTAAATAAATATTTCTTGTTGGGTNTGTGTATTTTCTTAATGTTTTTTTATTTCTGTGGAGTTTATTTAATTTGTTATAACTGTGTAAGTAGCTGCCTTCACATGCATGGCACTTATCCAATTGCATGTATGGTTCTTCATTTTCAAAATATATGTTTTGTTTCATGTTTTTTTTTTTTTTTTAGAATGTGTCAATTTGATGGTGACCATTAAAAATGGCCAAAAACATTCATATATTTATTAAATAAATATTTCTTGTTGGGTTTGTGGTGGTTTTTTCATTGATTTTTCTGGAGTATATTTTCATAATATTGTTTTATATTAGTGTTGAAAGTTTAATCTCATTTATGATGAAACATTTTATGTTTTTCAATATAGTTCATCTATATGTATTTATTTTAAATACAAGTTTTAAATTGAGTTCAAATTATTTTAGGCTATTATGACAGAAGAGGAGACAAACGTAAAAGATCTCGTTCACGATCTCCTGTCAGAGATCAGTGGGGACAGCAATCATGGTAAATAATTATTTTATATTTAAACAACAAAAATAAATGTTATGTAAATATTTTTATGGAAATGGAAAGTTACTTTTATGTCTACATAATGTCTATATAATTTACAGTTTTCTTTTAGAAATAATCTTTTCTGTATGATAATTAAAAATTATTAAAGAGAAGCTTTCAATTTTTCAATGATATAATTTTTTCTTTTGAAGGCCTGATCATAGTTTCAATTCAAATATGCCTAGAAGTGGAACTGAACAGTTTGAAGCACATAAAGATAGTTTGATAGCTTTAGATTTATGTAAGTAAAATTTAAACTTAACGGCCAATTTAGCTTTTTTTTTTAATATTATTTTGATTACAGATAATTCCGATCTGAATTTGATCATTGATAAATCTCAGTTTTCGGCAAAACCTTTAACTACGGAAGGTTTTGCTTTCATGTGGGCGGGAGCTCGTGCAACACATGGTGCACTACAAGGCAAAGTGTGTTACGAAGTTAAGGTAATATGATGATAATAATTTTTAATTTAATTATTAATATTAAAATTGTTTTATTGTATAAACTAGGAAATATTTTTGTAAATAATTAGTTTTTCAAAAGAAGCTTATTATATGAGTTTTCAGTCATAATCATAATTTCTTATTAGAGAACAATGAGTACAACAATGCTTATAATTTTTTTATGTTAAGTACAGTTGAACCTCGGTATACTGATGTTTGGACTTATACTGAATAGGACGTATACCAAACCAACCTTTCCCATAAGAAGTAATGTAAAAATGATTAAGCCATTCTCATGTAAAAAAACGGCTGGCTTTAAGCACTTCGCTTTCCTGGCTAGTTCCTGCTTGATTTTTCATGAGATCAGCGTGCATCTTTTTAGCTTTCTTGCAAATAATTGCTTCTGATACGCTGTCGCCAGCACACTGTTTTTCAGTTATCCAAAGCAAAAGCAATTTCTCAACATTATCTAATGTTTAGAAATTGATTTAACCCCTTTCAAAACATTAGCAGATTTAATAATATCTTTATTTTTCACTAATGCCGATATTGTCGTTCATGGAATACAGTATGCAACAGTTAAATCTCGAACAGGCATGCCACCTTCATATTTCTCAACAATCTCTTTTTTCAGTTCCGTTGTGATTCTAGTCATTTTTTTATTTTTCTGTTGCCTTTTTGCAATTCATGATTAATAAAAATAATAAAATTTTACTTACAAATTAAAATCAGAAGAAATTTAACAAAGTTATAAACCGTGGCACCGCGAACATCTAGTCTGGTTTAGTACACCGATAGTGCTACTTGTTCATAGATGGCATGTATAATTGAATTAAGTCGTATACTGAGCAAAATTTGTTTCGTCCAAACAGGACGTATTTCGAATTTGACGTATTCTAAAGCAGATGTATACCGAGGTACCACTGTATTTAATAATGTTTTTTGAAATTAAATGTGTAATGTTGAGAGTAGATCTATAGCTTAAATTGATTTATTTTGTAAAATAATATCTCATGTTACTATCATATAATATAATCAAGATGGGTTGATGATAATAATAATTGCAGAGCCCAAACGGTTAGGAGTTGAAAGTTGAAATTTGGAATGCAGTTAGGTTACATCATGAGAATGTACTGCACAATAAGAAGGGATTTTTTGAAATTCCCTCCCAAAGGGAAGATGGAGAGGGTTAAGTACCCTGAAGAATTTGGCTTCTAGTATACTATTTTAGATGCAGTTTTTTGCATTTTTGTGGAAAATCGAATATATTTTTAGACCCATCTAAAAATTCTCTAATTAGTCTTGGAAGAGGGGGACCTAATTGTTGTACCCATTGAAAACGGGTAAGATCGGCTATAATCTAATAATCTTAATCTTTTTGCCTGAACAACGCTGGGTTCATCTGCTAGTTACATAATGTTTTGTTATTTTTTGGAATGTTTGTTATTAATTAAAAAATTGACTACTCATCTTTACTGCAACACCGGAGAATAGTAATATAATTACCTCTTTCTAACCTGTTACCGGTGTGTCTACTAACTCTTAACGATCCAAAACGAATCAAAACTAACGTTTTTGAACCCTTAACCGGTTCTTCTTCAGGTTTTTTTCGAATCTCTGATGGAAAATGCAGCTCGTAAAAACTTTAAATTCGAAATATGTAAGTNAACAGGTTAGAAAGAGGTAATTATATTATTAATTAAAAAAATTAATCCTTTTCCTTATTTTCCCAGATGTACTCAGAAAAATAAAAATGTACATTTTTTATAATCTCGAGTCTTTCTCATTTGATGCTCCAAATTTTTAATGCATAATTTTATTTTACCAAATTGATTCATTCACTGTTCTACTAGGTCTCTTAATCACTAACAAATTGATTAATTTACATTTTGATCAATAGATGGCTGTACTTAGAATATATTATGAATGTCCTTGATGTTTTCTGATATGAATAATTACTTTTGTGTACATTTGCTTTTTTACAATTATAACGAATTACTTAGCATTATATATAATAATAATGCTTTTTATAAGATAAAATATATACTAAACTTTTTTGCAAAAATCATACTTTATTTATCAGTATGTAAATACAATCAAATTATTAATACAGTAGAGCCTCGAAAACTCAGCACTCGATAACCCAGCACTCCGGATAACTCGGCCACACCCTGGCAGGGCAAAAAAAAAATCCTTAGTTAATTAATTTTCATGATAAAGACAGCTTTATGCCTCATAAAGTATTTTTCTGAGGTCTGTCTTATCAGGTAAATTACTATACACAGTGTATTCATTAATTTTCATTTTCATGTAGTAAAGGCTCTATGCCTTCATAAAGGACGTACGCTACTTTTCCTTTGTTTAAGGGTATTTGGGCAGTTTATTCTCTGTTGTATTCTCAAGTAAACAATACATACAAGTACAGTACAGTATTTTCTGAGGAAACACTCATACTTATTTTTTTAAACCCCATTCCCGATAACCCGGCATTTTCACAAACTCGGCCACCCTTTGGTTCACATTAGGCCGAGTTTTCGAGGCTCTACTGTATTATGATTTGTGTTTAGTGTATGTTTTAATCAAAAGGAGGCATGTTATTTATAAAATATTTTTGATTTGGTTGGAGGGCTTTTGCAGAAATAATCATTATTTAGACATTTATTATTTACCCTAACATTCATGATGAGTGATGTGGAATATACTAGTGATAGTTATGAAAATTTGGTTGATTGTGGAAATGAAGATGATGGTGAATATATGTCATCAGATGAAGAAAGCTTGTGACAAAACTTTGCCTGATGCCAGGGAATGGGTAAAAGTGATTGGGGATGATCCCATACCTTTGCATCTGCCATGCTCTGCTTCTCCTTTCACAGAAAATGCTGAAATTCATTGTTTCTGATAAATATGAAAATATTTTACATTATTTTGAGTGTTTTGTGGACAATGATATGATCAAATTTATTGTTGCATGGACAAATATAAATGCCAAACAGAAGCCAGGAGAAATGACTGACTTAGAAAAACAAAATCGGTGCTTATAAATGTTGAATGAAATAAATATTTTTAGGAATACAAATTCTAAAAATACAAATTCTTTTTAGCATTGTAAGAAAACCCGATGAACAAATGTATTAGTCAAAATTCAGTGGTTGCAACTCCATTCTTTAGTAAAACATCATCATATTGAAGATTTTGTCAAATAAAAAAATACCTGCAATTTATAAATGATGATGAATATGATTGTGAAAGTTATCCTTAGCCTAAATTTTATAAAATTTAGTTTATTTATGAAAAAATAGTAACTAAAATCAAGACAGTAAATGCTTCTGAAAAAGATATTGCAACTGACAAAAGTCTTATTCTTTTCAAAAGATGACTTGGCTGGGTATAATATATACACCACTTGATTTGGAATAAAATATCACATGATTTGTGAATCAAAATCTACATACATGCAGGATTTCATAATGTATACAAGAAAGGAAACTAAGTTTGACAGTAACTATAACAACCCTCCTATTTCAACACAAGTAGTAATGACACTAATCAAACCCTTTCCAAATAAAGGTTATAGTCTCACTGCAGATAATTATTACATGTCACTATAATTGGCAGGTGCTCTTATTTCTAATGGGACTGATATGTTTGAGACCATAAAGCTTACCAAAAGCAATATGCCAGTGAATATAAATGAAAAGTTGATCAGCATCTGTCAAATTACTCACTTACACAAAAAAGTGGAAAATAATAATATAAAGAGAGGTTTTTTTTTCATATAGATTTTGCATTATGGAATTCATTCCTTATCTATCAAAAATGTGGAGGAAAAGAAATAATCTTGAAGTATCAAATAAATTTAGTAGAATGTGTAATGGAGAAATAATAATAATTATTACAACTTAATAACAGTATTATTACATTTTTGATATTTTTCAGATATGACTATGTTTTATTATACGCAATTAAATATCAAATTGCATAAATTTCAGGTAATGCAACAACTTGATGTAAGTCATCTTCCTCCAGAAGAAATAAATCCTCATGTCGTTCGTACTGGTTGGTCATTAGAAAAAACTTCCATGCAGCTTGGTATAATTATATAAATCCATTGTATTGAAGGATACAATTATATATTTAATAAATGATTTCGTAAATAATTTTTTATGTAAATTTTTCTGTGTTAATTTTTTTCTAACAATTTACTTTTAGGTGAAGAACCAGATTCATATGGTTATGGTGGAACAGGTAAAGCTTCGACCAATTGTAAATTCAAAGATTATGGAGCACCTTTTATTCAGGGAGATACAGTCACATGTTATTTGGTGAGTATTTATATATCAACAAATAAAATTTTTAAATATTTTCTTTTACAATTTCCAGGAAAATTATACTGTTGAAAAATTATGTAGTTAACCCTTTACCACTGCCATCTTGTTTATGTTAATTTTGTAAACTGTCCTAAGGCAATATAGGTCAGTCAGGCGATATTATTTAAAAAATTCACCAAAAATCAAATTATGATTATATTCATATGAAAAAAATCACATACATTTATTAATATCTTTAGTTTTAAATATATTTTTCAATACATTTTATTAGAAAAATTTATAAGAAAAAAAATAATATATATCAAAACTGGCATTTAAACTTGATAATTTGAAATTTTTTGTCAAAATTAACATTGTTTAGTTACCTAGATTTTTGCTGGCAATGAGCCAGAAAGATGTAGAATACTGTTCTGTACAATTCTATATAACACTTACGCATGTATGTTTATTCGTTATGAAATTATCACACATTATATCAAACAGTTGTTTGAAATCAAAATTTTATTATGCTATTAACTAATATGATGAATTAATATACTTTATTCACTTCATATGAAACAAGAATATAAATTTTTGTAGTGTATTATTATGCTTACTACTTGCAATCTTCTGCTATCGACGTTTGCTTAAGGAAAGAAACAAACGACAAATAAAACTACAGTAGAGCATTGATTATCCAAATCAATTGGGGACTGGGGTTTTTCGGAAAATCGATATTTCGGATAACCGATTATGTACGAAAAAATACATGAACCTATCCCATGCTGAAATTTTTCTCCATTGCGTGTCGCTTTGCGTTGATTTTTCGTCAATGTTAAGCTAACGAAGACTGTTGTATCGTTAAAAATTATTTTTTTATTTTGTACAAACAAAATAAATATATTGAAAAATATAAAAACAATAAAAAATTATACTTCAGAAGTTAATTTAGTATCAAAAATTTAAAATATTTGAGTAGTCCAAGACATAGCCAAAGATTGCAGCGCCACAGCACTGGCGAAAATTTAAATTTGCTGACTGGAATTCTTTTGGATAATCGACGCTCTACTGTACATGACTTTATCACAAAAAACCAAGAATTTCAGAAGAGCTAGGGCCTTCATCACAAAAAATGAACTTTATATTTCTATGTGCATATGTTTGCATTATTTAACATATATTATTATTCAAATTAATAAAAATAACTTGAAATTATAGTAAAATTTGTTTATTTTTGGTCACATGTTCCCCTATCCCTATTTACTATGTGTTAAAATGACCTCGTTTAACGCTGTTTGGCTTAGCGCTTTGTCGTCTAGGAACGCATTCCCCACATTAAGTATAGTCTTACTGTATATATAAATGTCCTTATATAAGTTGTTTAAAATATTGTTTCACAGATACCAAAATCATGTAAAATTAAACAATGTAAAAGAAAAAAACATTATAATAAATATCAATTGCTTTCTTATGCTAATTATTTATTTTTTCATAAATCAGGAAGACAAGCCTTTTTTTTTTTTTTTTTTTTCAATAGCAATTTTATTTTTTGTAAAAAATTTTTTTAACAAACTTTCTGCAGAAATTAGAAATATGTATAGTTTTATTAAAACTGTAATTATTTATATTTAAATGAGATTACATTAGAAGAGTCAAAAATAAAGACAAGCAATATATACAGATAGATTATTTATGAAGTGAAATAGAACTACCCTCTATATACCATACTAAGAAGTAGTATAAAGAGAAATATAGAAAAAAATGGACTTATTCTTTTCTATATTTTATTTTATTTTTCTTTTGTTGCAGTGTTAGAATTGTTGTGTTGATGTCATTTTTCTAAAAACGTTAGATGTTAGAACAGTGGCACATTCTGGATTTAATTTCAGAAGTAGCCATGTTGAACATATAAAAAGCTTTTTATATGTTCCATCGTATGTGACTGTCAATTCATAAGTAGTATATAAATAGAAGATACAACACAATATAAATATAAAAAAAAATTAATTTTAATAAGGGAAAGGGTTTTGGAAAAAATTTAGTGTTTTTCCCCCTTTTTTGGAGGTTGCCAGGTGCAGGTGTTTTTCTTCAGTGAAATGGCTTTCTCTGAAGAAAAAACTTAATAATCTAGGATATTAAAGATAAAATTACAGTATTATTGTTACTATGTTTTCACGTATCTTTCAGGTTATCTGTGTTTAAAAGATAATTTGTAGAGGGTAGTGGATTATGTGCCAACATTAAAATTGCAGTTATGAACTTGTGTCTATGGAGTAGTAGCTGCTCCATAGGTGCAGGATGTATGGTGTGGTAGGTTATGTAAAGGTTTTATTTTTTTCTAGCAAGTTTTTGCAAGTTAACAGATGAAAATGTACAGATTTGCTGAAATATTAAGAAAAACAGGTCTCACTAAGCTACCTGTCTCTTTAGCAATAACCTATGATATTTTTATTTTTACATTTGACTCTAGAATTTTGCTTGTAAATGAATGTTTTGAGATTGGACTGATTAGTCTGAAAGCATTTAATTATTAGAGTTAATGTAAATTAACAAGTAAAACAGAATAATAATTAATGTGTGAATTTTAAGCTTTGGATTGTAATAATTATTTTCTTTACTTATAATCCTCTAAATAAAAATTTATTTAGTACAGTAATACCCCGAACTTATGCAATAGGTGAGACCGAGCGATAACCGCGTAAGTCGGGTTATAATTTCTCCTCTAAATAAAAATTTATTTAGTACAGTAATACCCCGAACTTATGCAATAGGTGGGACCGAGCGATAACCGCGTAAGTCGGGTTATAATTTCGCATATAAATACATACAAATAATTTTTAATTGGGGCTGGAGACTAAAGAAAACAATAATTTAGAAAAAAATGTTTAATAAAATCTTAGATAATACATATGTATAACAAATTAGGCCTATATTATTTTACAATTTTTCACATTTACTTGATTATCACGCCATAGTTTTAACATTGTTTCCATCTCAGCGATAATACCGTGACGTTTATGAATGATGCTTGAATTTAAAGATTGAGCATTTTTCACAGCTTCGAGAATTTTTTCTTTGCCTTTTATAATTGTTCTGACCGACAATT